CGAGAAAGGCCATGTCTTCCCCAGCCCAAAGTAGAAAAGCAAGCAGTCCGAAGAAGAGAGGGCTTTAATCCATTCATCAGCGCTTAAGGGCTCCACCTCTTAATGCTATAATATCAATACCTGTATCCTGGAGGCCCACAGCCCTTGCCTGCTCCTGTCTGTCTCTGAGTTTGTGTACTCCGATTCCACATGTGAAAGGAGTCACCGGGGGTTTGCCTGTTCTAAGTGACTTACTTCCCTCAGCGGAATGTGTCCAGGAGACATCCATGCTACGGTGTGTGTGTGTCTGAGCTCCTTCCATCTCAAGGCTAAGTAGTAGTCCTTGTGTGCCTATGTCACTGTGTGCCTATGTCACTGTGTGCCCATGTCACTGTGTGCCCATGTCACACTCGCTGTAGCCACGCACCTGTCGGTCGGTCCCTGGGCCAGTCCCTGCCTTTCGGCTACTGTGAGAATGCCACCATGCGCCTGTGTTTTGTGCCCAGAAGAGGGCTGGATCATTTAAGTCTATTTTTGAGGAGCTTCACGCCCCCTTTAACTCAAGATTACTGCAATTGAGATTAGACCATTGCTGGTTTCCAGAAAGTTCTGTGGGCGACTTTGTAAACAAATCCCACTCCCTCATTCCACCTCTGCCTCCATCTCCAACAGCCCCCGATCTCTGTTCCTGTCACCTTACAAACCCAACACTGTCAATTAAGGCATCTAGTGTTTTTTCCCTTGACGTCATGCTTTCGAGATCTCCATAGCCCACATATATCACGGGTTACTTTTCATCCCTGAGGGACTTTTGCTGTAGAAGTGCCATGGTCAACTTTGCTATTCAGGGATTGGCCTGGACGACTGTGAGTCACGGCACCTGTGTATCTTCCTGTTCTGGTCCTCAGGTCTCGGGTAAACGCTTACAGAGGAATTAGTGTGTCCAGCTTCTCGAGAGCCCCAGGGCTTCGCAGCATCACCAAGGAGCACTGATGTCTTGAGGAGACGTGAAAATCGAAGCCTTGCCTTGACTCCCCAGTGCATCTGAGTGATGAGTGATGGGGTGGGTGCTAGATGCCCCATCTTGAGCAAGCCCTGGAGATGTTGAATAAGGCCTTCCAAACCTGGATATAACTCCCAAACACCGGAGCTCAGTTTGAAGGTTAACCAAAGGAAGTTGAAGGATTGAAAAAAATGGGCTGGGGGGAAAGCTTGGGGATGAGGCCTTACTACTCACAGGTGTCAGCCCCACCTCCAAAACCTTTAAATGCCCACCCACAGCATACAGAAAGGACATGGGTGCGACTCTGAGGACACTGAGCTGAACCCTAAGTTGAGGACCTCAAAGCAGCCCTGACTTGAAGCAGGCGAGGACGAGTGGCTGGAAGTAGCCTGTGATGGTCCACAGTGCATCTGAGTGATGAGTGACCATTCCAGAAGGCACCATGCTCCCCACGGAAGTCCCTTGGGTCTGAAGGGCAGTGGCCTCAGTTGACATCTACTTAGCACAGCTAACCCTGTCCGACAGGTTCCTGTCATCCCTGTCTCCAGGCACCTCCCATCCCCAGGCCTGGAGACAGCTGAGTGTGGTAGGAAAGAATCCATAGATGAGGGGATCAACCTTCGCCGGATGAACCTGCCCCTGCGTAAGTAGGGCTGGACCCTCCAGATGCGCATGCTGGAGCCCAGTATCTTGTCAGTTTCAGTTGCTTGGCAAAAATGCCTCAGATTCACTTTCCCGAAGTTCCAGAAGCGGAAACCCCTGAGTCAGAGTGGTGGCAGTGGCGTGGTTCTGTGGTGGAGGATGGGGTGTGTGTGCCTCATCTAGGTTGTAGACTGCTGCCATCTCTCCATGTTCTTGTGGTAGAAATCGGGCAAGGAAGCCATTCTATCCTCTCCCCACCCCCCTCTCTAAGGCTGGGTATTCTAAAGCTCACCCGGGAGAGCAGGATTTCAACAGCATTGGAAGGGGACGCAAAAGCTCAGTCCATGACAAGCCTGAATATTCATTTCTTTAATGAAAAATGTACTTCTGTGCTTCTAATTATATCCTCTTGAGGACAGTGTAACCAGCATGTCCTGCCTGCTGTGTGAGCAGAGCCTGCTGAACGCTCACCAGGAAACATCCCAGCAATGTTTATTCTTCACAATAGCAGGGTTATTTCAGATCCTGGTTTAAAGGTGAGAAAACTCAACTGTGAACACGCTTCCTGTAGACACAGGTGAGAGTGCTTTCCGAGTAGGACTCCTGGACTGGAGAGCGTGTGATCTGAACCACTGCGAGCAGGCAGGACAAAGAAGACTAACGAACACAACTCAGGCTGCTTAAAGAAGACTGCCACACGCATGCGTCTGCTAGCCTGGTGTCTGGAGGTGGTGCCGGTAGAATTTTTCTCTGTCCAGTTTTTTGGGAGATTGGCTGAGACAATCCTTCCTAATCATGGTAGCCTTTCCATGAGTATGCTTGATCCCATGGCATAAAAAGAGCTAAAAGCTTCTCTTCCTTGTTCCTCGCTGTTTAGAAACATCCTGATAGCTGAATCTTTTAACAAGTCCTGATCACTTCACTGGTGAGTCCCTCAGCATGGGAGCTCAGGGGCAGACCCTCACAGGACATAGTGTAAAAGTGACTGCTCTCTGATCTTAAGAGTGTTCCCATTAGCCTTGGTCCCTTGTCTACTTTCCCAACCGTATTCCATAGAACACACGTGACCATGCTGTACCTGCCTCATGTCTGTTACCTACCAAGAGTATCATGAGGCCACTTGAGTGTACATGTATCTGACTGTAAGGGCAGCAGGGCTTGTTTTCTCCTGTATCTCTTAAATAAATTATTTATATGGTTTGGCAATTTTTCTATAGTGTTTTTTCTTGCTTAGATGTGATTTTCTTTATGTATTAAAGATCTGTACCTATCAAAGATGGCAAACATTTCTATCCAATTCATGGTAATTTCTTTGAATTTTCTCCATTTTGAATTTCTCGGTGTGTGTGTGTGTGTGTGTGTGTGTGTGTGCATGCATGTTCATGGGTGTGAGTATGGACACACATGTGTCATGCACATGTATGGCAGCTGATGGACAACCTCAGAGGCCTGTATGCATGCAACATGTTTGAGACAGGATCTCTTGATGTTTGCCACTGAGCACTCCAGGTCAGTTGACCCCAAAGCTTCCAGCTACTCCCCTCTCTCTCCCTGTCTTCCTGCACTGGGGCAGGGGGATTGCAGACCCACACAGGAGCTTTTGAGGATTCAAGCTCGGGACCCTGAGCAGCTTTCCTCACTGGCAGCTCCCCTCCTCTTCTCTGACTTGCTAATGGTGTTTTACGTAGAAACATTGTGCATACCCTGCCATGAACATGGGCATCCTTTTCCTGCTGCCAGCTCCTCCTCTCACAGCCACGCTCTTCTAAGGGCTTCATTTCTAACTCCACTTGTCAACAAATGGGAATCAGAGCACTTCATTCCTTCTCCTTTCTGAGCTGTGATAGCAAGCATACTTTGGAGTTGTTCCAGGCAGGCCTGGGTGGCCATCCCAGGCATCAGGGACAATACGGTAGAAGAGGACCAAGGCTCGGGAAGCTTAGGGTCAAGGTCACAGTTGGTAAGTGGACCAATCTGCTTCTCTCCTGGCTGTGTCTACTGCTCGATGTTGTGTGTAATTCCTCTCTACAAAATGAAAAGACAACGCAGATGAAGCCCCGCTGAGGTTCTCTGCTCAGCCCTGAAATTTGGAACCATATCCTGAAAGCTAAATAGTTGGCCACCTTGCATCCTCCTTCCCTGGGAGGAGACCATGTCTTCCAAGGGTTGGAGGTTATCCAAGTGGATGCATCTGCTTGTAGGGTTGGTCTCCACCGTGTTCGGGTCAGAGCGGTGGATCCATTAGTGTGGCACACGTTGATGGGTGGGTCACGCCCTTTTATTTGCCATGCAGCCTCATCCAAGCCGGGGAAGCTGTCACACACCACAAATACCTCCGTGTGCGTGAAGGGACAGTTAGGCATATTAGCAAGCCTAGCCTCAAACCCCAGATGTTTAAAGCCAGAGAGAAGTGCCCTGTGGCTGGCAGAGAGGACCATGGCCCGCTGCCCTCCTAGTGGTAGACATTTAGAATAAGACTTTTAGTTTTATTCTAAGCCATGGGAAGGATTTTGGGCTCTTTTTTGCTTGTTTATTTGTGTGCTGTTGTTGTTGACTCCCAGAGAGGTTTAACACCCTGGCTCAGCTGCCTGCCAGCCATCTTCGGTGCATTGCCGGCCCGGGTCACTTAGTGTCTTCCTTATTCATTGGATGAGTCTTACTCCATTAAGGATTTTAGTCCTTGATTGTGTTTGTTGCAAATCTCGCCAGATTGTTACCTGCTTTTCCTTTCTTTTCCGAATAACAGGGTTTCTCTGGCCAGCCAGGTGATATTTTTCCTTGTTTCTCTAAATCTGGTCTGTGTTGTCACGGCAATATTTCACATCCCTGAACATTTCTTTATCTCCGGGCGGGGGCTGGCAATCAGCTAACCCCTCAAAGGATAGGAAGTGGAGGGAGGGCCCCGGGTTGGGACTCTGTGCTGGGGACGCTCCTGGCTATGGTCAAAGGTCTGTCTAGCCGGGAAGAAGACTGAGGCTCAGGAGAAAGTCGTGGCCGCCACGAAAGAGGCCAAGTTCCACGCCTGGCTCAGAAGTGGAAACTGGGCATGGCCTGGGCAAACTAGATGAAGGGCGAAGGTCCAGCACCCTGGGCTGGAGCCCCACCCTGGAGCCCCGCCCACCGGGCCCGCCCCTTCGAACAGAGAGTGTCCTGACCTCTCGGCACCTTCTGGCTCTGCCGGTGCCCTCCCTCCTCTGAAGTCATTGGTTGAGTCTCAGTCCCCGCCCCCGGAAGAGCTGCTATCGCAGCCAATCGGCGAGCGCGGCGGCGGCGGAGTCTGGGAGAGAGGTACCCCGACCTGGAGCAGGGGCTGCGGAGTTGACTTGGGGGACCGGGGCTTGTGGGGTCGCTTGTCACCGTGGCCTCGGGGGTGGGCTGCTACTCCAGGGCCGGTGACCGTGCCCGCCCACGCGGAGGGCTGGTGCCGGCTTGTCGGGGTGGCAAGATGTGGGCTCTATGGAAAATTGGGGCCCGCCCGTATAGGCCCAGGGGTGGGTGGGGCCGCCTCAAATTTGTTTTTTCTTCTGCTTAGGGACACCCCACCTGTCACTGAAGGGAAACGGAGGCCTCTTCTGGCCGCCCCCGGTGTCAGGGGCTCAGAAATCCGAGACCAGAAGGAGATGCGCTGAGCCTGGCTGTCCCCCCTAAAGGGCCTCTCGGAAGGCACCGCCAGGAATGCCTAGACTCCCATTGGAGCCTCTGGAAGGGGAAAGGAGGTTGGCTGTGGCTCTGGCGTTTGGCTCTAGGTAACAATAAAGGGAACATGGGGGTGCGATGAGTGCAGAGAGACCGTGAGAAAAGGGCAAATTGAACTTGGACAGGCGTTTTCCCATTGCTCGCCTCTCAGGTCAAAGTAAGAGACTTGGCGAGCCATGGGTGCTCCCAGCGTGTGTCCTTGGCCTTCCCGACCACACCTTGGAATGCCTTTCGAGGTTTTTGTACAAAGAATCTGAATGTAAGATTCTTAGTGACTGGGAGCTGAGAACAGGACTAGTGCCTTGTGTGCAAGCCGGGGGAGGGAGGCACGGCTATGGATACGGAAGAGGGCGGGGACTCTTGTCTTTCCGTACATAGTACACAGTCAGGGAAAGTGTGACTTTATTCTGCCTAAGCCCCATGGGGGCTAGAGTGAGGTGTTGTCATTCGGTCCTGTTGGTGTCTGCTGACTTTTCGCCTTGTTGGCAGTTCTCTTTAGGAAGCCAGAGGGGAATGAGTAGCATTTGTGGGGAATTAACCCCAGGTTTGGTTGCTTTCAGCTAAGAAAATGAGGCAGAAGGAAGTATTGGCCAAGACCTTCCAAGGCCCCGCTGTTGTCTGTAGGACTCCAAATAGCCACGTTTACATGTTCAAGAATGGCAGTGGGGACTCCGGGGACTCCTCCGAGGAAGAGTCACAACACGTGGTGTTACGACCCCGGGGCAAGGAGCGCCCGAAGAACAGCGTCCAACACCCTCAGCATCCCGGAGCGGGCAGCGTGGTTTTGCTGCAGCGGGAGCTGGCCCAGGAGGACAGCCTCAACAAGCTGGCACTCCAGTATGGCTGCAAAGTAAGCCGGCTCAGTCGCTGAGTAAGCTGACTGTCAGTTAGCTGGGAGCCTCTGTTAAGGGTCTGCTTTCCACTGCAGTGACACTATGAAACTGTGTGGTCTTTTGAGCACGTTGCACTTAAGATCTTAGGGGCTGGAGATGGTAGGAGGAATTTATCCAAGTTTCCTTGGCATGCTTGCATTTCTCGCTCCTTGTATCCTGACCTTTTCTTGATATTAGCTAATCTGACCAGTAGTTTTTCCTTCTCTCTACTAGAACTGCATGGTCTAGCCTCTGCCTTGCATTTATATAACCTTATCTTTCTCTTTAATTATGTTTTTAGCATTCAGAGTGATTAACAGTGGCAAAGTAAGTAGGAAAGCATTTGTGGAATACCCCCCTCCCCTGCATCAAAACGACTTGTTTCCAGCTGCTAACCCCATGCTATATACCCGGCAGCAGCTTTCACCAAGGCTGCATCAGCTGCACCATTAAAAACATCTTTGCCTACTAGAAATTGTCTGTTGTTTATCTAACAGGATCCAAATGAGCAGAAGAGATTGTGTGGGTGTGGGGGTCTTGCCCAGCCTAGTAGAGGCTGGTCTCCAGGGACACAGAGCAGCTTTGCATTACATCAGCCCTGGTGCTTGGATCGCCTCATCTGCTTCCGTAGGCTGGAAAACAGTCTTGAAAGATAGACTGAGTAGGCCTGTCAGATGATAGTCTCTAACAAATCCAGAATGGATACTTAGTGCCTTCACTAACCAGCCCGGATCCAATTAGAAACAAATACACGTGCTGTTTGTCTAGCACAAACAGTGAAAGTTGTCAAGTTTCAGGGCATGATAAAAAGCATCCCTCGAGCAGAGTCAATGAGACCCTAAAAGTGGTTGCTGAATAATATAATCACACACACAATTGACTTGAATAATAAACTCTGTGGCTTGTGCTTACATTCTAGATAAGGTTTGCAAAAGTAACCTGAGGGGGAGTTTAAAATTTGGTCTCCTGGCCCTTCTTTTTCTGTTAGAAGCTTTGTTCCCCGGACTGTAGTTGGGCATGGGAAAGTCTCAGTCTGGAACTCCTAGGTAGATTGCTGATTTCCTAACCTGCTTCTAGTGAGAAGTAGGACCTCCCCAAGGTCAACTGAGTCATTTCTACTCAGGAAATAAGTTCCTGTGCCTGCACTACTTCTGGGAAGGTGCTGAGGAAGCATCCTGAGGGAAGCCTTGGGTGGTGAAGCCTCTGAATGTGTGCCCAGGGCCAGTGCAGGCTTTGTTGAGCTTGTCTGGTCACTTGCTCAGCTGGATTTTGGTGTGAGGGGGACACTGGTGCCTCAGCGCTTGACAGAGGGGTGACAGTGTCTGTCCTGTTTCACCTGTAGCTTTTGTTGTAGTCACAACACTTTCCAAAATTGATCTGAAATTGTTGCAAGTGTAAAAGTTGATTTCTGAGCTATTCATTAAGAGGTTAAAAACCAAAGACAAATAATAATAATAAAACCCAAAGCTCAAGTTGCTCATCAAAACAAAGCTGGCTGTGGGTGCAGTTTCTGGTCTTCACGGGCCTCTTGGATGGGATGCCAGCAGGCTGAGGGTTTCTGCTGGGGTTGGGTACTGATTTTAAGGAACACCGTGTGTTTATAATGCATGGCTTCCCTAGGTTGCAGAGATCAAGAAAGTGAACAACTTCATCCGAGAACAAGACCTGTATGCATTGAAGTCGATCAAGATTCCGGTGAGAAAACATGGGATCCTCACAGAGACTCACCAAGAACTGACCCCTCTGGGGGGCCCATCCTCTGAGACCAGAGTGACCCTGGTGGGACTGCCTGAGGATGAAGCTGCCTCTGCGGCGACTGCTCAGGGTAACCAACTGACAGATTTCTTTAAGGGAATTGATGAGAACATTGAGCGGGTTGTGCAGTCTGACGTCTTCCACAGTGACAGCTGCTGTGTGGAGGCCATAGATGAGCCACTGCTCCCCACAACCCAGAAGCCACCAGCCGATGGCGCAGACTGTGGGATTCAGTGGTGGAACGCTGTCTTCCTCATGCTTCTCATTGGGATTGTGTTGCCGGTGTTTTATCTTGTCTACTTTAAAATCCAAGCCACTGGGGAAGCCTCAAGTAGCTTGAATGCAACTGTTGTCCCCAATGGGTCGATGACACTAAGTCCAGTTCCAGGCCAAGCCCCCAATTTGGCAATTCCAGTGCCCACCCTCCCCGCTTCAGACAGCCAGGTCAGCCCAACCACCCAGGCAGGGGCCTAAGCTCATTTAGTCTATAATTTGCAATGCTTTGGCAATCGGCTCCTGATGCATGTAGCTGTCACTGGCTGTTTGCTGGGAGTGTTGCAGTTTGCTTCCTGGGATTGTATGGACATTAAAGAAGTTGTCATGTCAATCTGGATTGTATGGACTGAGGAATGGCCTGGCCTAACACAAGGATTCAGGAGCCCAGACATCACCATTGCAGCAAGAGAGACATTTGCATGAAATTAGTGGCTGTTTCTTGAAGACACGTAGGGACTGGTTGTGAGGTCCTGTGCAGCCAACCTGTGTGGGCTCCTAAGTAGAGCATGACAAGGGATCTACAGTATTGGTGCTCCACTGTTAGATGGGGTCAAACGACTGTCACAATGTCCCTGCCTGCCAAGGGTGGGGGTGGGCTCAGAGACATGTCTGTGTCTGGGTAGACCAAGGTGCTATGCAGTATGCCATCGAGTTTTAGAGCAACGAATTGCAGTTGGGACAGCCTGCCATGCTTGCCTCTTCACTTGGCCCCATTGAGGGGTGCCTCTTCGGAAGTGAGGAAGCCTCAGATCTAAAGTGCCACCCTTTGAGCTAAGCTGCCATGTGCTCCCTCCCACTGTTGGAGCTTTATGGTCTCACAGATGGGCATACCTTAAGCCACACACAGGGCCACCTCTCACATTCACACTGGGAGCAACTCTGGCGATGGCTCCCTGGATTCTCCCAGTTGGCATCTTAGGAGCTGCTGTTATTGGCACGTAGTTTGAAGGGACTACATCCGACAATGAGGTTCTAACACACGCGCCTCTGAGGCCAATCCACTGTCCGACCTGTGTCGCCAAGAACCGTAGGCCTCCACTTCACCCCACCCCCACCTTGTCCATGTGTGCCCGAAGCTGAATATTCTTCCTGCTGCACCCATGACTATTTTGGGGGTAATGTTCTTGACTTCCAGAGTCTGTGTCTCAGTGTCAAAACCAGACGTGGTGCTGGTCAGCTTTCTGTCACTGTACAAAATCATCTTAAGTAGGAAAGGTTCATCTTGGCTGAAGGTCTCAACCCATGGCCCGATTTGGGGGTGCCTATGGTAAGGACACACATCATGGAGGAGTGTGGTGGAACAAGCTGCTCATATGGCCAGAAAGAGAGGGAGAGACAAGGAGCTTGGGTCCCAGTATCACCTTCAAGGCCATGCCTGCAGTGACCCAGCTTCCTCCCCGCAAGACCCCACTTCTTAACATTTCCACTCCTTCTCGATGCCAAGGTGAGGACCAAGCTTTGGGGGACAGCCAAACCCCAACAGGGCGACTCTGACTGTGAAAGGCCATAAGAGGCAGCACCAGACACCAGAGGGTGCAAGCCGCCCGAGGTTTCCTGAGGCACTCCCTGGAGGTGGTGGCCATCAGTGTGCTGTAAGGGGGTGGAGAAAGGGGGAAGTCAGCTCACCTTGTCACAGCGGAAAGTGACTGAGGCGCTGGGGTCTCAGCTTCAGGGTGAACGGAGGCAAGCAGGTTGCTCCAGTGATGAACATGGCGGATGCTCAGACCACTTGACGCTTAGGTCTAGAAGCCCAGCCAGAGGAGCAGAGTCCTTGAGCCAGCTTTTCAATCAGGAAAACAGTCTGCCCAGAGTGCAGATAGCAAATTTAAATAACCTTCAGAACTACATAAACCCATGGATCTTGATACAATAATATTGATCATGTTAGGTGATTTCTGTCTGGATGCTCATGGTCATTGTGGCTGCGAAGTTTCTCTTAAATGTTGTCACCAGTAACTTTAACAGACAGGGCTCAGAGTCCCATGGGAGAACCACTTGCCAGACAAAGAATGTCTATTTTTTTTCCTGTATTCTGTCTCAAGTGTTGGGGACCACCTGTGGCGCCTGTGCACAGTCCTGTGTAGGCTCCTAAGTAGAACATGACCAGGGATCTGCAGTGTCAGTGGCCTTGGGGTTGGGTGGCATCAGATGACTGTCACAGTGACCCTGCCTGCTAGGAGCGGGGGTGGGCTTGACTCAGAGCTGTGTTCTGTCTCTGGGTAGACCAAGGTGCTACACAATAGTATCAGTATATCACTGAGTTTTCGACAAGTTACAGTTGTAACTTGTATTTTCTGTATTTTTCTCAAGTGGAATAAAATATTTCTTCTGTGAAGGAAGCACGACCCCCTCTTTTCATCCGTGGATATTAGTAACAGTTTAAATCAGAGGAACCGGTTTGGAGAAGATGGCAGTGGCCTCCTGCTGGGCCTGGACGAGTTACCCTGGGCTCTTGCTGTGCACAGGCCTCTGTGGCCAGGGAAGCACAGACCAGGTGGTAAGCAGTGCGCTCAGGCTCACTGACCCCCATAATGTGCTTCCTAGTTGAGTGAGGTCTGTGGAAGACATGCCATGGGGTTCATTTTCTGCTAACCTATTGCATTTTGGTGACTGGGGTGCTTTTGAAAAGAGCTTTGACATTTTAAGTTCTGGGCATTTGTGTCTCTGGGGGTATGTGTATGTGAATGCAGGAGCTCTTGGAGTTCAGGCGAGAGTGTAGGACCCACTGGAGCTGGAGTTATGAGCAGTGGATGCTGGGAACTACACTAAACAGGAGGACAGCGGAGCCACCTCTCCAGTCCCCAAGAAAGTGGATGTTTTAAAGAAATAACTGATCGTTTTGGTTGGCCATAGTGCTTCATGTTACGCACTAAAGAATTCATAGTATTGGACATGCTGACTTACACTAGGCAGACAAGGCTCCAGGCTGGGTTGAGCAATGCCTGCCTAAACAGCAGGAGACAGAGACCAGGGGGAATAAACACTGAGGGTCATGAATTTGACAGTCATGTGGGATAGGCCAGGCCCCAGGGCCATACTTAACCTGGTAGAGACAGCTTGCAGTCACGTGAAAGATGGCTGCAGCCAGGAGCAAAATGTACTTACTGAAGTGTAAGCCACTGAGTTCCTTGTTCATTGGCTACTGGGCCTTTTGTGCAGTCCCCTCAGGAGTAGGCCTTGGCTGTCACCATTTTACAGGTAGAAATCTAAGAGCCTTCAGCTGACAAATGGGGCTGCTCAGGGACCTGCCCCAGCTGGCAGCCTCGGCGTTTGTGCCGTAGCCTTTCTGCCCTGGTACCCAGCAGCCTGTTCCTGGTGGGGCTGATGGAGACACTGAGGACCTGCATGGTGTCCAGACCCTGGGGCAGGCGGGGGTCTCTGAAAGCGCCAGTGGTTGTGGCCTCCCGAGGCAAGGCTTCAGGAGAGTGTGGTGGAGAGAGTTAGACAATTTGGTCCACAAGAACACTGGCCAGTGCTGGTAAGAGTCAGCCATTGCAGGGGTCCAAGAACTGGCTGGCACTGAAGTGCCCACCCTCTTTTTCCCTTTGTGGGGAGGGAGAGGCCCGAGATTGACCCCTGGCCCAGCATCTGTTCTACCAGTGAGGTGTGCTCCTAGCGGGATCCTATTCGCTGTTTTTAAACGTTTGTTTTATTTATTATTATTATTTTAATGTTTGCCGTGCCCAGAGATCAAAGGAAAGGTCTTGCACATGCTAGACAAGTGCGCCACCACTTGGCCACGCCCCTTGCCCTAGTTCCGTGCCCCTCGTATTTGCTGACATGAAGCCCACTGGATGTGTATCCAAGGCAGACCCAGACCCCTTCATCTAAGAGTCAGCCTGGCTTGTGCTGGTTAGAACGTCCCTCCTAGTGCTCGGTGTGGTGGGGAAAGGAAAGGGCGGATAAGCCTGCAAAGCCAGGTAACTCGGTGCAGCTGCTGAGGACAGGTGAGACCACCCCCCCCACCCCACTGCCCCTGGGAGGAATAGCTCGGTGATGGCAGCGTCAGCCTGTGCCCCAAAGTGGCAGAAGTTTCCAGAGACTGCCCCACCCAGTGGCATCGGTGACAGCAGTGCCTCTTAACACCTCTCCAGGCCTTCCCCAACTCTTCAGAAAGCATTAATAATTAGTTTTTGTGATAACGCTGGCCTGTAATTTGTTATGGAGTCTAGGCCTGTCCCATCTCCTTAGTGCTGCCACCTTCACATGTGGCTGCAATGGATATTCTCAGATACTGTTTCATTGCCCGGAATTCAGAACACATGCTGCTTTTTATGTGAACTCCATCCATGCACATATGCTTTAGTTCATTAACCTCTCAGAACAAAAGAGGTGATATGATAACCCGACAGGGCCCCGGACCCCCGCCCGCAAGGTGCCGATGGGCTGGGCGGGGATGTGATGAAGGCTCTGGGCCCCAGAGAGGCGCACGGGTAATGTGTTAACTGGGAGGTCCTCCAGATGAGCTGAGCTGAGCTGGCATTTCCTTAGCTACACTCAAAAGGAATGGAAGTCAGTGACACAGTGGACAGGTGTTTTTAAGGAATGAGCAAAGGGCTAGAGGGTGGAACACGGGAGCTGTGCACACAGGAAACTTCGTAGCCAGTGGCCTGGCTTGTAGGGACTGTAAGCGGAGTTTTGAGGAAATGCGGCAGGAACGGTTTGGGGCCAGACATGCAACAACCTGAGTTCTCCATTCCAGGGCTTGGCAGTGTTGCAGAGAAAGTAGAAGTGACTCGTGGTGGCATGAGGAGGTCAACACCACTGAATAAAGTTTCCTTCCTATGTCTGTTATTCCTTTTGTTCTTAGATCTGTGAGCTCATATAGTTCCATTTGATTTGGAAAATTGCAGTCATCCTTAAATTTTCCTGATCATTCTTCTCTATTGAATCACAAATTCTAATTGATCTTAATAATAAAAATCCTGAGTCACATATAGGGGTAAATGCTGAAAGATCAGAGAAGTAGAGGAGCCACTCACTAGAGGGTACTGAATGCCATTTTTCTGAGATCTTTTTGGACAGCTCCTAGAGAAGGAGCGATGGAGATCTGGGGCTATAACTCAGTGGTAGAATGTTTGCCTAGTATGCACAAGGTCTGGGTTCAATCCCCCAAAATGCCTGCCCCCCAAAAGGTTAGGATGCCATTCATAACTCCAAAACACAAATACATAAATGAAGCTATTTATGACGGAAGGGCACACAAAATAAACCAGAAACGCCTACAGGTGAGTCCAACAAGGAATCTGTTAAGCATGATCTTGACTGGATAATGTAAAGCTAAGGCAGAGAAGCCCCAACCTCACTCTCCTACGTGCTTTAATGTAGTCAGTAAATGTGCACTCCCCAGGAAGCGATGGGATGGCAAATCTGCAACTAGTTTCTGTATGCACTAGGGTGGAGTATGCCAGAGAATCATAGGTAAGAGGAACTGGGGTTCTTCCCAGAGGTGAAGCAAACAAGCTACAAGAGAGATTCGAGGAATACAAGGCTGCAGCCAAGTGGACTCAACAGCCTTAGGCACACCCATGAGAGAGCGAATATCCCCACAGCTTCCAGTGTGCAAACAGAGCCCAACGTGGCTAACACCACAGTAACAATGAGCACACCTACAGCCTAGGGTTTGGTTTCAGAATGCCATTATGTAATAAAACAAACCCGGAATCCTCGAGGAAGCACCTGGTCCAGGTTAAGGAGAGGGAAAACACAAGTATGGAACCTCTCGTGGTATGAAAAGCAAGGGTGTGCTGGAGAACTGTGTTGTGACCCGATGGTGCTCCTAAAGGCCCCAACTAGAACCGTCTGTGGAGCGACAAGATACATTACAACCCAGACTACAGTGCATTGCTGTCAATCTCTAAGATGCAACCGAGTGTGTGTGTGTGTGTGGTCAGCCACACCTCGGAGTTTAATTCCCATTGACGAATGTAGAAGGAAACAGGCTAAAAATTGCCGAGGACAAGATGTAAGGTGGGTAAAAGTTGGGGAAACCTAGTCAAGTTACCTCCAGATACCAGCCAATTACAAATGGAAGACAGCACTTTACAGTGAAGCCTAGCAGGAACTGTCACCCCGGTGAAGGGACAGCCATCTGTAGTGAGACACTGACACCATCAATTCCAGAACCAGCTAACTGTAGTCACCAAGTGGAACTTTGATGGACAGGTGGCTGGGAGTAGTGGGCTGTAGCCCTCCAGCTGGCACAGGCTCTGAAAATCACTTTCTCGGCTGGTGCCACTCAGACACAAAATCAGCTTAAAACTGAGATAAAGGCTAGAACACGGCACCCAAGGGAGCTGACTGGGAACTCGAAGTGAATTGATATTAAGTAGCTGCAGCTGTGATTAGAATATTTTTAGCCACAGGACTGGAGCAGCTTTCAAAACCTGCTAATAAGAGCCCCATTATAGCCAGCAAGCAAAACCAGTGCAAAAAATTAACTTAATTTGACACCAAGAATCTGCTTAGCTAGGAGCTGGCTCTCAAGGCAGAGGAGAGGAATAAGACATTTTTTACTGTGGATTTGAACAACTGTTGGGGACTTCTTTGGCTTCCTGGCTCAGTTATGATTGGAAAGGTGACTGACTAGTAGGAAGGGGTCACCTGTGTGCTGTTAACAGAAAGCTATCTCAACTAAAGTACACCTCCGTGCAGTGTGTATGTGACATGGACAAAATGAATCTCGCCATAAACCTGAAAGATACACAGGACAAGACAGTGAGTGCTAGCGTCCACCCCTCAACAATTCTGGATATTTTCTGTGAGTAGAGCAGTTCTTGGAGACCGAATGGATTTAACTGAGCTGCAACATAGTCAGGCTGATACTGGGGATCAGATGGCTGGCTGCCTCCAACAGGCTCCAGGGCTGTCTAGATGCCACAGGGTGAGACTGGGAACAGGGAAGCCTGGTGGCCAACCCAGCCAGCACTTACTGTTCCCCAGGCAAACATGACAGAGTCTGGATGTGTGGTCAAAGCCAGGCCATCTTTACTGGAGTGAGTGCAGGAGACAAACAGCTTACAACGACCTCTAGCATTGTCTTAACCATTTGATAAAAACTTCACTATAATATTTATTGTATAATGAAGAAAAAACAACACATTCAGGGAAAATTGAGATTAACTTATTTTTCTTAAAAGGTTCATCTCAAGGATGGCAACAAAGTCCAGCTTGTGCCGCCAAACGGTTTTACATGATCAAACCGTGTACAGCTTCTTTGTGTGAACTGTTGACTACAAACATTTACCAAATACATAAATCTCTTTTAAAAAAGCCATTTTTAAATATAGCAAAGCAGTGTCTTCTTGCACAGCAAAGTGAAGAAAGTTTCTACAGAGAAATAAAAGTTTTACATTTGTAGAGTCTTTTTCACATCCTAATCATCTAGCTTTTTATGATCCAATGCCAGGAGTTTTCAGATTCCGTATTTACTATGTATTTCTTGTGCGCATGATGGTTAATACAGAAATGATGTTAATACATTATCAGGCATCTTTATAGTTGAAAGGAAATGGTGAAACATGTACTGTTCTTTTAGAACAAACCCCTGATTTAGTTATAACACAATGGATGTAAGCAGGGCTCAAAGGGTGGAGTTTTGACTGGGACCACCTGTGTCCACACAATGGTGACGGTTGCTCTCAGTGTCGGCCTACATAGAGTTCCAAGGGGGTACAACTGGTGGGCACTTCCTATGTCCTGTACAACTTAAGCTTTTGTTTTGTTTCTGTTTTTAATAATAAAATATGTGATCTGAAGGAAAATTCTCGGTGATAGTGTCTTATACAAAACACACGAGTCTCAAAGGGTAAGAGAGTCAGTTTTAAAGCAATACCATCAGGTCCGTGTCCTCCCGACTCTAGGCTGGCTTCCACTGAGAGCTGTGGATGTGGATGTGTTCACACATGAGTGTCTGGGTGAAGGATGTCAAGCCCACATGCTCCAAATCACATTGGACACATGGGGAAAGATTAACAGTCAGATATTCAGTTCCTAAAAACGGAATACATTGTGACTTGGTCAGTGTAATTTAAATACAAACTCCGAGCCTTGTGTAGTATCACTTTAGAAAACAGTAGTTGTACTGATTATAAACCTGCATAGAAAGAAAGACTATTGAGATACAGTCAGAAAAGCCATCTCATAAGGCACACAAGAAAATAGACAGTAAATGTGACTGTGTTAACTCCTATTCCAATATACAGCAGAAGTTCATGAACATGCATAAATAATAATGAAAGGGCCACTTAACACTTCCAAAGCTATAATGGTTTACAAAGTGGTAAGTGTTATCTTGGAAATTCAGTGTTGGGAGACTGTCTTGCTTTAATTAGGTATGACCTTATGAAGAATGTGCCTTTAAGTCGTCGAAGAAGAAAATCTGATCTTTTCTGGTAAGAGCCAAATGTTGAGACTACAGAGAGGAGACAAGACATCATCCTCATCTTTTTGGCTTCTACTACCACGTGCTGCCCAGACTGTCAGTGGAGCACTCTCCCCTGCACAGCCCGTGCTCACCACGGGGCATGTACCAACCTCTATGAGCCAGTCAGGAAGCCTGGCTGGTGAACTGTCAAAAGGGCAGATGAGGAAATGGTGAAAGGAGCGTAATTTAGGGGGGAAAGAAAAATGTGAGTAAAAACTGCAGGTAGCTGCTTAACATTGTTCAATATAAAATCGCAGCCATTTTAAAACCCTTTTAAAGTTTTCCAGGAAAAGGAGTATTTAAAAATCTAGGATAAAAGATATACAGGACTTTGAATTTTGTTCATGGCACAAGCCCAGTAAACGGATGAACTTGCTATCACCAACGAGTTGTCTCCCTGTAAGTAAGGCCTTGTTCAAAATCCCAGCTGAGGGTGGCACCAGTTTCCGTCAGGACAGCAAGAATCGTGCCAGGGATCCGCACCGTTAAGAGAGCTGTTCCCGACACGCCCTGCCTTCCCATGGGACAGCTAAAAACCCTAGTGGACTTTGTAACTAGCTGCATCATTCTGTCTTTAGAGTCAAGGAGAAAAAGATCCCTTTCCCCACAAATATTTCCCTAATTATTTACCACTTATAAAACCTTTGTGCTCATCTACTATTCTGCCATTTTCTCTAATAGTAGTTAAATTAGGTCATCTTTCTACTGTTTTTTTTTCCTCACAAAAGGCAAGTTTTAAATAATGCCTTATAAAATCTGTTACAACACATTTTATATTTATGCAGGATGAACTTAACACCAATTTTTTTGCCACTTTGCTATTTATGTACACATATAAAATATATAATGATGCTCACCCCATACAGCACAAAGATTACAACAGAACATCACACATTCACCACCAGTGAGGGGAAACCCCTTTACACAATCCTCTGAAAAACTGGGCTAATAATTAAAATCCAAAGTACAGTATATTTAACAAAATAGTAAATATTAAACAGTGAATACTCTACTTAAGGACTTCGCCTTTCCCCCCAAGTTGGCGGCAATCCACAAAAATATACTTTATAATCTGGTGACCATACAATACATAGGTACTTACATCAAAGGTGATAATATATTTAAGATGCTATATACACAAAGAGTTTGGCTCAACTTTTAATTTACATATAGAATAATAAGTGTTCATGGCTTTTTTTTTCCAAGGTTCTGCTTGCAAGATATTTGTTTTTTTTCTCCCCTCTTAAAACTAAAAAGTTAAAACAAGATAAAGCTATTCTCTAAAAAAAAAAAGTTACAACATACAGCTTTGGCTTATATAAATAATTCAGCAGAATGTGTTCAAAAGTAGTGGATATAATTTTATATATAGTCATCAATTCATTAAGGGTGTTTTCTTTCATATAAAATATACATGACCTAAAATCGGTTTCTTTAATTTTTAAAGATATGAATGTAAAAGAAACTTCTGACATATTCCAATTATAACTTAATATATTAATTTTATTTTGTTAATGCTCTATATTTCTAGGCTAGTATTTCTGAATATTTCATGCGTGTTTTCTATTCTCTCTTTTTATTAGCTAAAGATCACTTCTTTGACCCAATACATTTTTTTGCACGTGCAAAACAGTTATGTGTGGGGCTTTTGTTTATTGTTTGTTTGTTTAATATCAACAGCCCTTTCCCATGCACCCCTTTGCAATAGACCCATGCCAGGTTGGGTTATTAATATAAATGACATTTTATGTACAGTATTGCTTTCTTGGTTCCTGCTTTTCTACTGCTCTGTTCTACAAAGCATTTTTTTTTTCTGAATTAACTACAGTCACCGCACAGTTAAATAAAACAAATAGGGGGCCCCCTAGGTTTCTGCAGGCTAATGTGGAAGAATTATATATGGGTACACGTTTCTCTGCAAAAACTGTTTATCTTACGAAACAAGTAGTCCAAGGAAGTGCCAGACTGGTCTGTGCCTACAGGGTGCTTTGTCTGCCATGTGGACACACGTCTGCAGACCTACAAGGAGTTTGCAGTAAGTGCCTGATTCTGTGTATGCAACACACACCCACACATACACACACACTCACACCACATACATATATATGTAAAGGAATATATATGTATGTATGTACATATAAATATATTGAACTCATGTCCTTATTCACCAATTTAAGATATGTAGGGCAGTTCACTGCAGTAACACAAAGAACAAAGATGAACCAGGAAGCCTTAGGTCACCCATGTGTCCATCCTCATGCGTTTTACAGAAGGGCTTTCTCTGTCCTCAGTATTTGGGGGTCGGCCAAGCACAATGGGAGAATGGAAATCACCCCGTGGATCCTCTCGGTCACTGCCATCGTAGGAGCTGCTAGAGCTGCTCAGACTGTCCACAGGGGAGCGCCCCATTTCCTGCCGGGGTTGGGGCTGTGGAGGCTGTGGTGGTGGTGGCGGCGGCTGATGCTGCTGCTGCTGTTGCTGCTGCTGCTGCTGCTGCTGCTGCTGGAAGCCTGATGGGGTCATTCGATCCCGGGGAGGTGAAATTGGCTCTGACTTAATGTTGATGTTCTGGTTGGTGTTAATAGACAAATTCGAACCCTGAGATAATTGCCCTCCAGCCCTGTAGAAAAACAACAGAGATGAGATGGTTTGGTAGTACATCTGTATAACTCATACCCAGCTCGGCAGACACAGCCTGCCTGGGAAGGCCGAGGGTCTGAGATCCCATACTTCTGCAGTTTTAGTGTCTGATGCTAAAGAGAGGAACAATACAGCCTTGAATTCTGTTCCCTGTCTCCTATCCCTTAGTATCTTCTCTACTGGGGCCCCATGACAGGCACATATCATCTCCTCACAACAGTCATGAGATGGAAACTGAGTCATCTTCATTATCCACAGGAGCAAACAGCTTCAGAAAGACCAGGAACTTGCTTGGGGTAGTATGGGAAACAAAACTTTCCCTCTATGTCTAAGTTGTTAGCCATTTCTACTTACTTCTTGGAGCTTACTATTTGTTTGTTTGTTTGTTTGGTTTTTTTTTTTTTACATCACTGTGCTTCCCTATGTAGCCCAGAGATGGTCCTCAACTCCTGAGCAGCTGGGACTACAAGAAGCACCAAATGCCCAGCTTTCAGGTCCAGCATTTTTAATGTCTCTTTCGGAACAGCCCTAAGCTTCAATGGCTCTAGGCACAACAGTTCCCCAAGGTACTTGGCACTTTCACCCATAACACAATTCTCAAGAGCACGGCTGACTGGAGTCCACATGTGGGTTGCTTGCACGATCCAAGAGAAAGCAGTTGCTGGCTCTCAGCATGGTGGGCAAGGAGGCTAAGGTGTCCCAGTCCTGACCAGGTGCAAAGCAGACAGCTGGTGTGATGCTGCCCCTCTTGTGGGTGTCTCCCGTACTGGTTCTTTCTACTGTTCCGGGAGTCTGGTCTCCCCTGGGGCCCACCGTACACCCTGCCCATAAGGAACATCCCCTTTAGGGATGAGGCAGTTCCTGTACTGGGCCAGAACATCGAGTCCTCTGGCACCTGATTCACACCCCGAGCATTCAGTCCTACTTTTTCTCTACTAAGATCTAAGGAGAAAGGAAGCAGCACAGGCTTGCGTCCTCTTCTCCAAACAAAAGGAGGAAAGGGAGGCAGATGAGCCTGAATGTTTTCAACCACCTTTTCCAGGGAGCAGACAGGTGATGCTGGGAAGCAATATTCATCTGTCAACGAGTGAGAAGGGACACACACAGGTGGCACCTGGGCCTGGGGAATCCCTTGATACCATCTGACTCTCTATGTCAAAAGGAAAAGTTCTGCTCCCTAAATCCTTCCAAGGAATGCTGGGTTTGCTCAGTTTCCATGCTACTATCCAGAGCTGTGTTACGAAAACACTTTCTCCCAACACTTGTGTCTCCATAAACAGGAATCCCAGCCTGCAAATGACAGCCTGCAAAGCAAAAGACTCCAACTGACAGGAAGAATGTGCTGGCCACACGCAAAAGCTCAGGGAAATTTCCAGGTACTCACACTAAAGAGCTGAGGGCTGCTTGTCCAAGATGGTGTTGCTGCCAGGCTGAAGCCTGCCCCAAAGACAGCATTCCAGGGGAGGTGAAGCCTTGCAGGGCCGACAGGTCAGCACTGGTCAGTGAGTAATCTACAAAAGAAAGGTTCCTATTACCACAAGCCAGTCAGGCTGGAGGATTCCTTTACAGTTATCATTCTAGATAAACAGATAAGCCTGCCCTCTGGGACAGAGACACACTGGACTAAACCTGGATTCTGAGTAGGACAGTAAAGACAAGCTTTGTCATGTGCCAAGCTTAGAACAAAGACAATGAACTACATTTGTTTGAATGGCTCCCTGAGTGCACACATCACCTCAAGTTCATGAATATCTTTTTATGACACACAGTCCTTTTCTACGAATGCTTCCGTCACAGTTACTGTTACTGTGACCAAGGCTTGGGACATTAGATCCTACCTACATGAGGTTACTTCAGCTCATCATTAACACTTGGGTTTTTCATTTAGTTCAGATGAAAGGTGGCAAAGACTTCTATTTTTAACTTCTCATGTCTCAAGAAAGGTGTTTAAAGCAGTTGGTCTTCCTACTGAATTAACATTTTTTTCTAAAGAAAAAAGACTGAGTTGAGAAAGTGCAGCTTAGGTTTCTAGGTAACTATTCTTTCATGCCTGACATGCCCAGAAAGTCTCAGCCATCCCCACAGAGGCTGGGGTGTATATCAGACTGAGCCTGCCCTAGGGACACTTCTAGTCCACAACTCTCTTTCGACTTCTTGACTTGTCCAGTCACCCATATGACATGTCCTACTTGGCCGTCTCTACAAACACATTAATTTTGGCATAATCCAATCCAAACTAGGCTCACATCCTCCTGAAAGCTGCTCTTCCTTTCTTGGTAATCTGCACCAACACACCAATGACTCATGCAGTGGTGTTAACTGAGTGTTAACATTCCTTCCTTGCTGCTCCCTGACTCTACCACCATCAACAACTCAGTCTGGTCAATCCCATCTGCCATGCCTTCAGCTTATCAGGGTTCCAGTGTGCTCTCACTGCTCTGGTCCAGGCACCAGCAAACTATTACTTAGACTAAACTACCTCTCTAAGATTTATTGGCATTCAGTTAAAAAACAAAAGATTCATTTTTTATTATTTTAATTATGTGTATGTGCATCTGTGCACGAGTAAAAGTTCCCACACAAGCCAGAAGAGGGTACTGGACTCGCCTGGAGCTGGAGTTATAGGCAAGTTGGGTGCCACCTGACATGGGTGCTGGGATCCAAACTTGGGTCCTCTGCAAGAATAGCAGCAAGTCTTAACCACAGAACCATCTCTTACAACCACTGGAGTTCAATATTATTGAAAATAAATATGACTATGACACTCCTTGATAAACTCCCCCCCTGGCTTCCCAATGCTCCTAAGACAACATGAATCTGTAATATACCCAACAAAGCCCCCACTTCTCAGATCAATTGTAACTGCCCTGCCTATGACATTCACCTTGTTCTGCTCAGCGGACTCCTGCCTGTGTTCTCACTGACAGGTCCTGACACAAAAGGAACAGGTCTTTCCCAATGCTACATGTCCTTCTCTTGCCAGAACTCAGCTCCACTGCTGACTAGATGCTCTATTTACAGTGCCTGCTAGGGTGCCTGTCACATGTGTCTGGTATATACCTACAGAATACATTCAGTACATCTTCATGCTGGGAGTGATGTTACTGATGGGCATGAGGAAGAGTCTATGGGATTCAGACTATTTTATTTTTATTTTAAAAAGAGGCGCCTTCACTCATTTCTTTATTTACTGCCTGGGATGGTGGGCTTGACACTAAGTATATACAGAAAGGAAAACAATATACATAATAACATGGCAAAATTAAACCAAATAGTGAATCTAAGAAGCAGAGTAATAGTGGCCTTAGATGAAACAAGACGTTGTTTAGAGAAAGACAAGATTATTTTGTGTTTTGATAATTCCTTGAGACTTTGTAAAAATATATGTATTCAGTATTTTGAAATGCTTACATGTATTTACATTCTTTAGAAACTAATAGCATTTGCAAAAATGAGTATTGTAGTAGATTTTCAAATACACTGGACCAGACTCTGACACCCAATCCGAACTTGGCCTCCTCTACTTCATTCATCTGCGCATCTGACTGCTCAAGTTTCCTCCTTTCCTATCTTCTCAACTCAGATTATAACTAGAAAGTCCAACAGGGCAGGACTTCCCTACACATGCTTACCAGCTAAGCTGTGCCTGTCTCCTCATCTGAAAAAAATGAATGTCCTTAACTCAGAATCTCTTATGCAGCAAGTGATTGATGGACTATAACAGAATTTCTACAAATGCTTAAGCTCTGGCCCCTTCTGGAATGAGTTCTGTGTAAGACACAAAACATCAGGCTACAATTCACAGCCTACCTTACATCTCATGGACTGGGGCAGTGTCTTTTTTTGTTCTGGTGGCTGGAAAGGTACTGGTGGCTCCCTTTGCCAACAAGCCCACTACAAGTTGTTGCTGCTTGAAAAGGAGTTAAAGTGCTAATCAAATGTATAAACTGCCTGACCCTCCAGGTAGTGCTGGTGCCAAAGCACTTACCCTGTAGTCTAAATTAAGAGATCTCCACCACAGTCCACTTATGAGTAGCATAAAAGAGTGATTTCCTTGCACTGCAGTCTCTGGATGACCAACAAGGTGTAATTTACTGCTTTCCCAGAGCCACAGGTATTTAGCTCAGCTGGGGTAAGTGAAACCACATGTGCTTCCTGCCTGACTTAGAATGGTAAACCAACAGGAACTGACTGCACACCAGTTCTCCATATGGTCCATTTGGCTAGCAATGCCCCTCCCCCATCACTTTGACACTCCTAAACTTTCTAAACAGCTGTCTGTCCACCTTAAGGGTATTTTATGATGAAAAGTCTAAAAGGCAAATGAATGAAAACCTATTCTCAGCAGCAGAGTGATTGGCAGCAGGGACAAATGAAGAAGGTGGTCATTTTCCTCTCCAGGTACAAACACACAGATCAAACCAGTAGCTCCAGGAGGAAAACACATCTTCCCTGGCACAGCAAAACATCTGCCATACCCCTAAGAGAACCTCTGCCCTTTCCCAAAACAGGTTTACAGCATAAAGACAAACAATTTGATTTCAAACATGTGGAAGAACAAGTTACTGTACAATAAGAGACTACATAAAAATAGCCGAGCGACTGGCTCCTACCATCTGGCTGAATGTGTGCCACACTTGACACAGCTACTTGCTTCTTTGTCAAGAAGCAGTAAAAGGCCAGGCCTAGCCCAGCACTTCAAGAAGAGGTAAATGGATGTCTGTGAGTGAGACCGGCCTGGTACACGGATGTTAGGCAAACCAAAAGAAACAAGACAAAAACACCAAAAAACAAAAACCTGCTTCAAAACAAACAAAAAATTGCAAAAGCACTAAAGGCACATTAGAGAAACAACTTCCTTTATCAATCCATTTTATGTAACTTATTAAGGCTTAGCATTTTAAATATACATATTTAAATTTGAAACAAAATAAACAAAAATAATATCCTCAACAAACACGCTAAAAAGGTTTAAAAAGTACACCTTGTTTAGAAAATGGCAAGAACAGAGTTCAGGAAAAGGCCCCAGAGAGGCTCACCAGTGTTGTAGGCTGTTGGCATTGCCGAGTACACCAGTCCCTGTGGAGGCAAGCTTGGAGTCGTCACAGACACTACAGGGGTGGCGAGAGGCTGAGTGGCTTGAGAACTGCTTATCCTCTGGGCATTCTGTGAGAGAGCAGAAAAAAAGATTAAGTGTAATTATGTGGTATTTATGTTAAGAGTGAATATTTTAAAAATAAATTTCGATTTAAAAGTGACACTTTTCATAGTTTTATGTGAATGCTATTATTTCCTGAAGCAGTGATGACATGAAAATCTTAAGGATACTAATGGGAATAACTATTTAATTTTAAGAGATCTTTTTATAGTTATTCATTCCCCCCTTTAAAAATACAGGATATCAATGCCAGATACATTGTCTTAAAATAGAAACTTATCTTATAGGCAATAACACTTTCGTGTGCTAGCTTAATGAGGGCTTGATGTCACTGCAAGTATTGTCAGGCTCCATTAATGAAGTCTGTGTGGGTTTTAAATGGCCGATGGCAGCCAAAGTCATTTGAATACATGAGATCATAAGTCAAAATTACTTCCTTTGCAGTCCTTATACACCGATGTTTTAGGCTGTGGTTTATCCATGCACCTGTGTCCTAGTTTCCCCCCTGCTCACCCTGCAGGGGTCTAGGTTTTAACAGCACATTCAGATCTGTATCATTCTGGTCTCCCAGTTTTTAGAAAGGAAAGGCTTTAAGTTCTTAAATAAAATACTTTTCAAAGGGCTGTGAATGGAGTGCTATTAAATACTTACTGACTGGCTGTATCTACATAGTAATATCTTAGCCAGGGTGGGAATACATTTTAAAAAAAGTCATCTATTCTTCTTTTTTATTGAGACAGGGTCTATGTAGCCATGGCTGGCCTGAAACTGCTATCTGGGCTGGCCTTGAACTCACAGAAATCCACCTGCCTGTGCTTCCTGACTGTGGTAATTAAAGGTGTGCCTATTAAAGGCTGGGCCAAAAAAAGGTCAACTCTTAAATGATGAAGCAGTTTTAGGACAGTCCGTGTCTTCCATGATTAGTTTTTTTTTGCACACTGACCTTAAGTTGGCATTTTCCAAAATCAGGGATCAGAGAATAGAAGTCACTCTACAGTTTGTAAACAAGAAAGCTAAAGAATGACGATACTTTGTTTCTATGAATGAAGTTATAGCCTGATGACTGATATTTTCACAAAAGTAGAAGTATCACATATTGCCCACAGGCTCTGAAGACTCCGGATGAGATTAGATTTTCTCTACCACTAATTTCAGAAAGCCATGAGATGAATGGAGGCCTTTGGCTAATGCGAATGCCTAAAAGGTGGTCTTCTGATGAGCATCTAGACCCCAGCTTCTTTAATGTTAGCTTGTATTTCCTATACATCTTCCTAAAGGACACCTGAAATACTTCATAATGTGTGAGTACTGATTCACCCCTTCTTGGGCCTGGAGAAAAATCATTGGTTACAGAGGGAAGTGAGACATGTTTGTCCTGCCTTGCTCCCAGAGCTCTTGACAAAGAACTATTAGAAATGAGCCCAAGACAGCATTAGATAGACAAATATATTTATACTCCTCCTGACCCATAGCCATTCCACTAGATCTGAGATGAGATAATCCCAGAAACACAAGAACAAAACAGTCCTCAACACAGGTCTGGGAACTGGGCTCCTTCCTTCCCTTCATTTCAGATCAGAGACAGCAAACAGATATTTCGGGGCATGAACTGTTTAGAGTAACTTTCTAAGTTCTAGTGGACTGAATTTCTGGTTTTTCTTTGCATTTAAATTGATTTAATTTTTAGAGTCTAAATTCACTTAAACTTTAAGGAATGTGAATGGCTACCACTTCTAGTGATCTTTCTTATTGTCATGATTTCTACATTTGAACAGACTCAGAAACCATCTCTGAGATTCTGCAGTTATGTGTTACTTCAAGGACGGCAGAAAGTCATTCATTGTCATATACTGATATGACAAGTGGAGACACATTTTAGTCTCGGCAACAAGTCAACAATTGCAATGAGTTGGTGAGGGATTTACTTTGAACTTAATTTGGTCTCAAACCAAACAAGGTGACCAAATAGAGTGTTGAGATGATTGGGTATGGGCTATCCCCACTCCAGGCTTCATCTTCATGGCAACCTCTTGGTATGACCTCATAGACTTGGGTGACGCTTCATTATATTGGTTCTGCCCACCAAATCTCTGCAGCAATGTTTTCCATGAAAAAGTGACTTTCAGAACCACTAGAGGGCAACATATGCTAGATAATTAAGGAAAGCATTTAGGACATCAGTGGGGTCTAGTGTAAGATAAATTTATAGCTAATCAGTGTATTTCAGATACCAATACAAAATGACATCCAGAACAAGCAAGCACAGAGCAAATAAAGGATCAAGTCTTATTTTAAGGGTAGAGAACAGATAACCTTATTTGAAAACAAAACAAACTGTGCAAAACACACCAGCATGCATAAACATGTAATAGTAAGTAAATGAAACCAATAGATGCCTTTATACCCCATGCTCTCATGCATTCCTAACACCTGTCCATGCTTAAACCTGAACACTTACAAGCTTTCATTCCCTTTAAACTAGAGTTATATAGTTAGCAACTGATTTGGAATGCATATGATGACATCTGTTAAGTTTGGGTTTTCGATCCCAACAAAGAGTAAGTTACTTTCAGTCAAGTTTATTTTCCAGAGGAAAAGACAACAGAAAATATTTGCGTTGGAAAAAAAAGGTAAAAATTTCTTTTAAGAACAAAGTATCTTTTGATTAAAAAGTAAATTTGTATATGTTTAATTACAGATACTTGTTTCTGTAAACAGGGAACCCCCTTGTGGTTCACAATATCTCATGCAGGATGAAATAATTCCAACTCTGAAGGTGACCTCACCAAAAATGATGTAATCTTTTTGAAAGAAAGAAACATAACACAAGATTCTGTGTTACAATCTGAGGGACTCTGAGGGTGAAGTCATTTTCTAAAAATACCTCAATAATTTGGAGAGCCACATAAATAGGTATTTTGTGTATTTCCTTAGAAGAAAAAGCTTGAAGTGTCTTCTGCTCATGGGCAACTATTTCAGTGTCTTTCCCCTCACCCGAAATAAAATGGACCAATATATACAACAATAAATATAAATACTAGGATCAGTAGTACCAGCAGAAGACTTTTTTAATTACAAATATTTGAATAATGGAAAACAATTAGAAAAATATCTGTGTAACAAAGGAACACTGGTTGGATTAAATAAAACATTTAAAATAATTAGTACTTTTTATATATTTTTCAACTGTCTTCAAGCAGTAAACCACACTCACCAACTCCAATTCCTCTTCCTCCGACTGTACTCAGCACATAAGAGGGATAAGAGAGTTAACTAAGACTGTTGGTACTTGCAACAAGATCTTTCTTTAGAAAAACATGGCATTGGATTCTAGTGGCTACTGGGAACTTTGCAGAGGTTATACAACATAACAAACCATGTAAATTACTTGCCTCTATATTATAGTTTGTTTTTCAAAATAATGGAAAATTCTTTTAAATTCTCTAGTCAAGGATTTAAGACCCTTAACCCCACCTCTCCCTCCACCTACTCCTACATGGGCCTCTTCTACACACAGCAAATGCTCCTGGGATACTTCCAAGTGCAACACTGTACTTACACATCTTAATCCCTGCATCACTACCCAACCTGTATGGCAATACAGGTTACATGTTGGTCTCCTGCCAGACTCTGATGTTAGGAAACTGTTGTGTGCTTTATTTTCCTGGTGATCAGCACAACATTATAAAACACAAAACATGTTTGCTAGTAAATGCTACAGTTTTGAGTAATAATGTATGTTTACCATTTGCAAATCATAGTATTTACATGAATAAAACCATCTTAGGAGAGTAAAACCTTGCATATGAAAAAAAGATGGGAAGAAAAATGAAATTAAAATTTATAAATAGAAAAAATGAACATGTTTTATCCTTTTTAAAGCATTTACGAAAAGTATGTTAAAAAGTCCTCATTGTTATTTTCCATTTTACTTGAGTAAGTCAAGTTTCTTCCAACTTGTAAAGTGTCTAAGCCTGACTGATACAGAAGTCATAACCTTAAAGCAGGTTTCTCTGCAATCAATGAGGAAAGAGGAGAAGGGTTGATTACACGACAAAACAAGTGCTTAATATACAAATGGCAAAATACAGTTCAGCTATTCAGTGAAACATATTTCATTATCTCCAACTTCAGACAGCAAAATAATGTCAAACTCTTGTGTATGTAAAATACAGTGTACACTTTAATCTACAGAGATAAGTGTATATAAATAGCCTATATGACAAAATTTTAATTTTCCTCAGGAGTTCATGGTTTCCTTTTTTTTTTTCTGTGACTAGATGTAATTTTATTAAGCAGTTTCCAAATGTAGTTTGAGTCTTTCTAACACACACATTTCTGTACTGTAAGTGACTTAAAAAATTAATTTAATTTAAAATCCAGCAAGGTGAGCAAGGAACCATGCCAAATGGTTGCTCTTCTCAGGCATACTTTTTGTCATGCACACTTGTGTTTTAACCTTTTTATCCCACAGCAGAGAGCACCTGCAAAGAGCTCCTTTACACACCTTCCTGAGGTTAACATCCCAAAGAGACTAGTGACCACCCTTTTAAAGCGTTACACTTCACTAAGATTCCACCAGTATCAGTGCAATGGAAGACATGAACTTTTGGAAGACTACCTGAACTTATCAGAAGGGATATATCTTCTTTTTATTTTACTACTAGTGATGTTAAGCTGGTTACCTAAATTAAGGTAATGTCCTCCAGGATTCTCCATGGAAAAATCATAATTTCCCCTTTTGTAAACATCACATATTTAGGGAAAGACAATTTGATGCTATGTAAATTATGTGTTTCGCTGTAAACTTTTGGCCACTACCTGCAGCATTTATTTACTGGCCTGCCTACAATTATGGCTGTTATACTATGCTATTCTAAAGCTGTTTTCCTATTCTTCCAAATGTACTAAGTAGATCAGCTATCTAGGGACGAGGTGTCAAGTCTTCCTTATTTATTCAACCGCATTTGTGTGAACGACAGACTCGGCTTTTTTTTTTTTTTTTTTTTTTTTTGGTTTTTTGAGACAGGGTTTCTCTGTGTAGCTTCGTAGACCAGACTGGCCTCGAACTCACAGAGATCTGCCTGCCTCTGCCTCTACCTCCCGAGTGCTGGGATTAAAGGCGTGGGCCACCACCACCCAGCTAGACTCAGCATTTCTTATTGTTTTGGTAACTGGGATGTCTTTTTGGAAGACTGGTCTCTGTGCTTTTTGATAACTATATCCTTATTCTCTGGTCCCTCTGACTTATCTTATGCTTCCCTACACCAGTTCTACAACCCACTATTTCCCCAAGGAGTCCTAGTTTTTGAATGAGAGAATGGTGCTTAGATACCACAATCAGAGCACCAGGTACACTCAGATACTAGATGAATACTCTAAGACAGAACTAGGAAATACATGATGCTAAGTCCTGTTTATATAAAGACAGCCTTGGCTCCCACTAACTCTAGTACAATGAACACCAAACAAACATTCTTTTTTTTTTCTGGTTTTTCGAGACAGGGTTTCTCTGTATTGTTTTGGAGGCTGTCCTGGAACTTGGTAGACCAGGATGGTCTGGAACTCACAGAGATCCACTTGCCTCTGCCTCCCGAGTGCTGGGACTAAAGGCGTGTGCCACCAACATCTGGCTCCAAACATTCTTAAGGAGACTCTAAAAAATGATCTTGTACTCATTTTAAAAACTGGACTACATGTTTTCTATTTTGGAGTTTTAAGAGTTCTTTAAAATATATGATAGGCATAAAAGCCCTTTATCTGGATATGGATTTGTAAATATTTTCTCTTAATTATCAGTTGTCCTTCTATTCTTTGGCTAGTGCCTTTTATAGACCAACGTTAAATTCCTGTGAATTCTAATATTTAATTTCTTCTTTTATGGATCACATGTCACTACTATAAGGTCTTCTCTTGTAAGCTTTGCAGTTTCGCATATAATTCAGTCTATGAAACACTTTGAATTAGTTTTTACATAAGACACACATATGAATCAAGTTTCCCTTTGGTTTCAACACCACAAGCTACGGTAACTACCCGCTCTACATTGAACTGACTCAATGCCTCCATCAAGCCCTGCCAAGTGTGTCTGCAGGGTCTATTTTCTGGGCTATTATGTATAATAATCTACTGGCCATTAATAATAGGTCTTAAAACCAGGTAGTGTCTTTCTTTTTTATTTATTTTAGGTCTTTCACCATTCCATATATATTTTAGAACTAGTCTGTTGATCTCAGTGAAAGAGCTTGTGATTTTGACAGGGTCTGTGTTTAATTTATAGACCAATCTGGGAGCACTCCTAAATGGACTCTGCATCAGCTGCTGCATCCATGTTCCTGCCCTGCTTGAGTTCCTGTCCTGACTTCCTTTGGTGATATACAGACACATGGAAGTATAAATTAAATAAACCCTTTCCTCCCCAAATTGCTTTCTGGTCATGGCGTTTTATCACAGCAACAGAAACTGTAACGAAAACACCTGTGAAGCCATCTCCAAATCCCTGACCTACCCCTCACCCCTTCTTTGTAATATAAGCATTTAATGCTATATAGTTCCTCCAGCAGTATTCTGGATGGTCATCAACATTTTAGTATTCTGTATTTTCACTTTCAATTAACTTACTTTAAATTATGTGCATGTGTGCTTGTCTATGGACATGAATGTAGGTGAGTTACCTACTTGACAGAGGTCCTGATAACTGAGATATGGTTCTCCACAAGAGCAGGAAGCACTCTTAACCACTGCTTACTAGCTATGTGTATTGCTAAATTTCTCTTGATATTTTTTCCTGACACCCACAGATTATTTATAAACGTGAAGTCCCGGGATCATAATAGAAGACAGCATAGAAAGGTTTTAAGGGCTGGAGGTGGTGGGTGACTGTACGGAAACTGTTTTCTGGACACAACAGAGCAGTTATGCATAGGAACTCAGTGACTGTGATGGCATGTGTAAGACCTGTGCAAGGTCAAGCTAGACAAAATCCCAGCATGGAGCTGGGGCAATTGAACACAAAATTCAATAGCTGAGGAGCTATTGGCAACTGACAGCTACTGAGAGAGGGAGAGTATGACCCTTGGTAGGCCAGCCACACTCCAGGACAGTTCCCACACTGACACCGCAAGACACCACAAACTGGACTCTGTAAATTTTATTTTGTTTTTTAAAAAAGAGGACACAAATATGGGTGGGTAGGAGGGGGTGAGTATGAGGTGAGTATGATCAAAATACACTGTATGAAATTCTTCAAGAATTAATGAAAAGTATACTTTAATAGTAACTTTACTGTTAAATTTCTAAACTAGGGTTTTTTTTTTCTTCCTGATGTCTCTTTCAGACTGATTTCTACTGGTTATAGACAGAGAATCAGTTCTTGTAAATTTGCTAAGTTTTATTTTATGAAATAGAATGGTCTACTTTGGTGAACTGTTCCATAAACATCTCTTATAACTTAATATTAAAAAAGACACCTTAATTATATGGCCTACTGTCCTGACCCAGTAAATCCAGGCTCATTTGAAAAAGCATCAAACAAATCTCAGCTGGAGGACATGCTACAAACATGTAAGCAGCAAAGCCTTAGAAACTCTCATCGCCTAGATCGCATGATTAATAAGTGAAATACGCTATGTAACCTAGTCTGGCTTAAGGCACAGAGATATGACATCTAAAACTAAGGCAATGTGTGTGAATATGAACTTTAGCTAATAATATTTTATAATACTGGTCATTCATTAATGTTAATAACTGCACCACAGTGGTATAAACTGTTAAAAGAAATTGTGTATGAAATATGAGGGAACTTTATGATTTTAGCAATCTTTCCAATGAATCAAAAGCTGTTCTAAAGTTAAAAGTTTATAAACTGTTTATTCCATTCATTTATTCCCTCTGTTATTTCTCTGCTTACAGGCAAGATCTTGTTGACACTGTTATTACTCTTTTAAGAAGACTTCAACATTTCCTGTAGAGTAGTTCTGATAGCAATACATTTCTATTTTCTGTTTGAAAAGGTTTTGCATTTATTTTTTAAAGACATTTTGGCTGGGTATAGGGATCTGAGTTTTTTGTGTGTTTATTATTGCTTCATTATTTACCAGCTTTAAGAGAAGTATGGCAGTAATTTCCCATCTTCAGTTTGTAAGCCATGCGTGTCTAGTTACTAGCTATCTTTAAGAATTTCTCCTTGCCCTTTGCTTCTAGCAGTTTGAATGTGCTGTGAGTATCTGTGCACACTCACACTGGAAGCATTTTTCCTACTTAGTGTTTGTTATCTCCTTTGGTCCATTGTTCCTACTGTTCTATTTTTTGAATGAACTAGAATTTCAGACATGTTGCAACTTGCTAAAGTCCTGCAGATCTTGGATACTATTTGGTTTTGACTCTTCATATCTCCTACTGCTTACCTTGTAGGGTCTGCCACAGCAAAGTTTTAGTTACTTTTCTTGGGCACTAGACGGGTTTCAATGTTAGTGTTGCTATGGTTGCCTTCAGTATATTTACCAAAAAACCTTTTATTCAAACCCCTCTAAAGGTGGGAAATGGGTAGGCCAGTTTCCCCCAGAACTATCCCATTCTGTCACCCATTCCGTGATGTGCCACAGACTACCTTCTCAGTCACCCTGCCATTCTCATGGTACCCACCATGTCTTCTTGCTCCTCAACCATGGGTAGAAATACTGTCCCTTTCTCTATTTCCAGATACAGTGATTTATTTATCAGTTATTTATTTCATGGAAAAGAAAAATATTCAAATAAAGCTTGTCCCCACTGCAGTGGCCAAGTGGGCTTTCAGGAAGTCTTTGCATGTCATCTTTGTTCTATGTGGCTCACTGTGAAAAGTCTGTAAAGACAGGCTCACCCTACACCAGGGCTTCAGGGATTTCATGGGGTTCTGACCGTGTATGCTTGACCTCCGGCAGTTCTCTAATTACACTAGCACCAATGTCTTTCTCCACAGTAACCATCTTTCTCTACTCTCCAGGCTATCTGATCACTGTGAATTAGCAGCACTAAAATGGGCTCAAGGGAAGCCTATCATATATTAGAGCTATTTTCCCCCCAGTATAAAGCTGAAAGCAATTCATTTTAAATTCCCTGTTTTTCCAAATGCAAGTGCTTTTTAAAAGCAGTTTGATATTTAAAACAAACTATGACTTAAAGACCCTGGGTATGTACACTGCTATTTTGGACAAGTGGTAAGTTTTAGTTCCATTTTCTCATCTCCACCTGGCCATTATCATAACCTGATTGAGAATTAAATGAGAAAATAACCCGAACAAATCACTAATGTTTTGGAATTTATGAAAAATTACACAAATGTAGAATCATCACCACTTGAGCCTGGCCACATCATGTTGACAAAAACGCAAATGACAAGTTTAGAACCTGCACAGTAGAATGAGCACCTGGCATATCATTTAGTATGCTAATAGTCAAACTGCTGTTGAACTAAAAATGTCTTTAAAACCTGCATATATAGTCTACAATTTTCTCCAGGAAGCTAGGAAGGATACACATTCTGTTCTTCATATGAAAACACAATCCAAAAGCAAATGACACTACAGCTGTAAAGACACTGTCAAGAGGTGCAGTAGGGAGTATTATACTCTGGTTAAAGAGAAGGGTTATTTGAAAGGAATAAATAGAGAAAATTATTTAGAGAATAATCCTTTCCAGTTGGCAAGCATTCTTTCCTAGATAGTCTATAACAGTTTTCTTTCATATACAGAATTTTCTGAGGTTTCATTACTGCTCAAAGAAAAGCACGTAATATATTACTGAAAGTATGCCAAGTGGAAAACAGAAACATGTTTAATTCATAAACTGGAATCAGATCTCTACATAAAGGTTTTAGCCTCGCAAAATTAAAATTGAGTGTAATAACCTCTCCATATTCAGCTTTTATTTTAAATAACCACTAAGCAGTTTTACTTATTTTCATAATTTGGTTTTTAAACACTGAAAATATATTTCTCTCTTAAAAATCCTAATTTTGAACAGAAAATTCATTAAGAAAAACAAATGGACACTATGGAGGCTTAACAAACCTCAAAGAAAAATAACAGACTATTAGAAACTGTTTAAAGAAGAAAGCTAAAGAGTGGTTAACTTACAAGTGGAGGCATCATGCCCTTGCTTGAAGGGGGAATGACAACTCGTAGATCTGGTTTCCGACTATTCATTCCAAGATTGCCACCACCAGGTGGTGGGGGAGACTTTGTAGGCATGATTTTGCCTAAACTATTTGCACCAGTATTTCCAATCAAATTTGGAGAGGCCCTTGAGTTTACAAATCCATTCCCTGGGAAAGGGGGGAAAAAGTACTTATTAACATGTAAAGCATCACTATTTTAATTAATAAACATAAATAATGCTAACTGTCTATTTATAAATCTGTTTTAAAAACGATTAACTGTATAAACAAAATAAGAATTTTTTATGACATATAAAGTTTACCATTTATAATAAAACACAACGCCATTATTGGACTATTATGTTGACAAATACTCGTTTGTATTTATACATTTAAAATCTTTTCTACATTTGTTTTCGTATTTTAAAGTCTTAAAGGGGGTACAGCCAGATGGCACTCAGTGGGTAAAGGCACTTGCTACCAAGCATGATGTCTGATCTGAAGACCCACAAGACAGAGAGAACTGACTCCTGTAAGTGTCCCGACCTCCACTCGTGCACCTCATCACCTGCCTGACCCGCCCCACCAACAAACAAACAAACAAATGTAAGAATAAAAAGAATACTTTAAAACATGTTTTTGTTTTGTATGTATACTTTTGTACTTTGTGTTTGATATGTTGAAATTTGTTTATTATTGGAAAGGCTCTGAACCTGTAACTCCAGGTTTTCTCTCACTACTGAATACTGATACCTTTCACTCTAAAAACAAAATAAAGCAAAAATTCCCACAAATAAACTACATTCTCTCTAACTCAGCACCCATTCCTACCTTACACTAGGAACACAGGGGAAGACGGAGTGTCTTCTGCAGCTGCCACTGGGACTGCTGTCAAACCAGCATAGTTGCTACTGCAATCAACTTTCCTGGCATGTACCCAAGTGAAGACAACAGAACATGAGGACTCACAAGCAGAACCCACGAGGAAAAGGGGAGATACACCATGAAGCAGAATACAAATTCCAACAGACGCTCAACACACAACAAAGAAACTAAAAAGAATTAAAAAGGTAGCAATATTACATTACAATGCCTCAAAAAGACAGCTTCTCCGTACGGGAGAAATGATGAGACAGCTGAAATCTGAGATGTGAGTCCTACTTACCAAATGTGTCAACAACCATGGGCTCAAATAAACAATAAGGAGTTCAATTCAAGACCAGAAAGTTACAAACTCAAATAAAGACTCACACAAGAAAGTTACCAGTGTGGACTGAAGAAACCAGTCACCTGGAGAAAAAACATTAAGATGTGAAGGAAAAATTTAGTAAGGAAATTGAGAAGCTGAAAAAGAACCAACCAGAAATTCTGAAAACTAAAGAACCAATCAAATCAAATCAAATCAAAGGCAGAAAACATCTACAGACACGATGAAGCAGAAGAGAGATTTCAGGGATGGAAGACAAGCTTAAGATAGTAACACACACAGATAAATACCAAGAAAACCTAAGAATCCATAATAAAGAAAAAGGAGTTAAGATAAAGTTAATGGCTCAGACAACCCATTCAGTGAAATTACAGCTGAAAATTTCCCAAATCAAGAGAAATAAATAGACCCCAACAAAAGTACTTAGAACTTCACATAGACATGACCAGAGAACTCATGACATACCCGAGCCAAGATGTCAAAAATACAAGAAGGGTTGGCAAGATGGATAGGTGGGTGAAGGAACTTGCCAACAAGTCTGATGATCCAAACTGAGTTCAATCTCTGGAACCCACACAGTCAAAAGAAAATTGACTCCAGCAGATTGTCTTTCAACCTCCATACACACTGCAGAAGCATATGAATATACACATATACATATACACAATGAGATAAACAATGTAATAGAAACTGAAAACACAGAAACAATACTAAAAGTTACAAGGCAGAGTGAAGGAGATGGCTCAGTGGGTAAAGGAGATGAGTACAGTCAGGACAACCGTCTTGGATCCCTGGATCCCATAAAGTAGCAAGAAAAAGAAGAAAACTGGCTCCTAAAACTTGTTCTCTGATATTGAAGCATATGTTGTGAGGTAAAAATGCCAACTCACAGAAGAAGAAATATTAGAATAATGGTAGGTTAGCAAGCCTAAAAGTCAGGAAAGCAAAGAACAGTTGGACTTCAAGACCTGAAAGTAAAAAACTGTAATTAAACCACTATTGTTAAATCCAGCAAATTAAATTGATAGGGAACCAAAAACTATTTCAAAACAAGTACCAGTTAAAGCAATCTGTGACAATTAAGTCAGCAATGCAGGAAATACTTAAGGGAATAAATACTAAACACAAAGGAGTTATACAGCTTATCCACAACACAAGAAAGAGTATATTTCATGAAAGCCAACAAAGGATTAACAAAGTCTCTAACAGAGACAGAATTAATAAGGTTCCAAACCAGCAAATACCTAATACTACTGTGAGAACAAACAAACAAACAAAAAATGAACAATGGAAAAAAAAAAGCCAAATGAGAACAACTGCCAACAAGATCAATGGCTTGATAGCCATAGCACACCCTTCTTAGTAACCTGAATACAAATGACTAACTCACCATTTATAAATACACACCAACCAACAGTGCTTAAAAATGAGGTCTATTCAGCCGGGCGTTGGTGGCGCACGCCTTTAATCCCAGCACTCGGGAGGCAGAGGCAGGCGGATCTCTGTGAGTTCGAGGCCAGCCTGGTCTACAGAGTGAGTTCCAGGACAGCCTCCAAAGCCACAGAGAAACCCTGTCTCGAAAAACCAAAAAAAAAAAAAAAAAAAAAAATGAGGTCTATTCATTGCCTCTAAGAAACTCATGTAACTAGAAGAAGAGATCTAAAAACCTTAGATTTGTCCAAGGCTGAAATAGACCTACTAAGCAATAGAAAGCTGCCAACAAGCTGACCTACGGATACTCACATCTGATAATGAGGACTTGGAACCAAACCCAGTTAAGAGATAAGACAGCCCCTATATATTAACAAAAGGAAGAATTCAACGGGGCAGAACTATTGTAGGTGTTTTACACAACAAATCCTGAAGCCTTCAAGGTTTTGGATCTTTTCTAGTTATGTGAGTTTCTTAGAGGCAATTGAATAGCTAGACCTCATTTTAAAGCACAATCTGTATCTGAATCAGTAATTTGCACTCGGGTAGTTATTGAGAAAGGTTTGCTATTACCACTGATTTTTTTTGGCAGTTGTTCTGGTTAGTTTTCATTGACGATTTCATAAAACAAACATTAAAGGGCACAAAGATCATATATGGTCCTGACACAGTACAGCAAGAAAACCAGCAAAAATTCTTTATACCTAGACTGTAAAATAAATCGACTGGACTTAATAGGTATCTACAAAGCATTCTAGCTAACAGAGAGAGAATACAAAAACTTCCCAGTAGCACATGGAACCATTCCTAAAACTGATCATATTACAGACAACAAAGAAAGCTTTACTCAACACAAAAAACCCTGACATGATTCCCCGCATCTAATCAACTAAAACAAGAAATCAATAGCAAGTTTAAGCTCAGAAAACACATAAATACTTGGAGACTGAGCTATACTATTTTAATGAAGCAAAGCTCATCTTAAAAATCAGAGAGGAATGAATGAATGCTAAAGCACAACCCATCAGGATCTCTGGAATCCAGCCAAAGCAGTCTTACGAGGAAAAGTCTATAGATCTGTGTTCATATTAAGAAAACCAAAAGGAGCTCAAGTAAACAACCCAATGAACCTAAAAGCTCTAGGAAGTCAGGAAACCTACCGAGAACTACCTGGATTCACTGCTGAATTCTCCTTAAGTACAACACCTCTCAAACTATTGCACAATCTAGGAAGACAGGAACACCACCAAGCTCATTCTATTAAGACAGTGTTATCCCGATACCAAAACTGGATAAAGTTACAACCAAAAAGAAAAACAAAAACAAAAACAAACAAAAACAAAAAAACCTAGAGGTCAATCCCTAGAATCAACATAGATATAAAAATTCTCAGCAAATACTTGCAAATTGAATTTAAGTTCATATTAAGATGCTATATAATTTCCTAGTTGGTATCATCTCAGGAACACAAGGCTGATTCAACATAAACAAATCAATAAATGTTATAATCTATATTAACAGACTTCAACAGACAAAAATCACATGATTATCTCAACAGGAAAGTAATTTGACAAAGTCCAACACATATTCATGATAAAAAGTTCTGAAGAAATAGAGGCAAACAGAACATACACCTCAACATAATACAGGACACATAAGACAAACTTACAGACAGTATTATGATAAATGGAGAAAATCAAAAGCATTTCCTCTAAAGTCTAGAAATACACAGAATGTCAACTCTCACCATTATTCAATAAGGTGCTTGAAGTCTTAGCTGGAGTAATAAGACAAGAGAAAGATCAAAATGATCAAATTCAAAAGGAAAAACCATCTCTCATGGCAGAGACTTCACCAGAAAAGTTCAAGTTCAAAAAATACTTTCAGTACAAAATCAACATATAAAGCCAATACATACTTACTTACTTTCTTTCTTTCTATCTATCTATCTATCTATCTATCTATCTATCTATCTATCTATCTATCCACACACACACCCCAATATCAAACTTACTAAGACATAAGGAAAGATATTTTATTTTAGATTTTTAAAACTCTATAAATAAATCTAACCAAAGAAGCCAAAGACTTCTAAAATGGAAATTTTAAGAAATTAAAAGAAAAATCTGAAGATATTAGATGAAGAACTTCCATGTTCCTAAACCAGCAGAATTAACATTGTGAAATGGCTATACTACCAAAATTAATCCTCATAGTCACTGCAATTCTTAGCAAAATTCCAAAAACATTATTCACAGACTTAGAAAAACAATCCTAAAATTCACAAAGAAACATGGAAGACCAGATAGTCAAAGCAACCTTAGGCAGAAAGCACACAGTCAAATATATCTCATTGTCTCAGCCACCCTATAGAGCCACAGTGACAAATACAGCATAGAACTGGCACAAAAAGACATACAGATCAACGGAATACAACACAGGACCTGCAAATAAATCCACACCACTAGCTGCTAACAAAGTACATGTACTCCGAGTATATCTTATTCAATAAATGGTGCTGGCAAAACTG